AAACCCTTTAGCTATTACCCTCCAAATTGCCCCATCCTAGGCAACCTCTAATTTACCTTCTGTCTCTATAGATTTACCTATACTGGATATATCCTATAAATAGAATCATACAATATGTGGCCTTTATGTCTGACTTCTTTCACTTAGCATAATGCTTTTAAGGTTCATCTAGATTGTAGCATGATTCAGTACTTCATTTCTTTGTATGCTGAATATTATTCCTTTGTATGATATACCATATATTGTTTGTCCATTCATCAGTTGATGGACTTTTAACTTGTTTCCACATTTTTCCTATAATGTATGCGTAATGCTGCTATGAACATTCATGTACAAGTTTTCACGTAGACATACGTTTTCATTTCTCTTGGATATATACTTAGGAATGGAATTACCGAGATATATGGTAACTCTGTGTTTAAGCTTTTGAGGAATGACCAAGCTTCCAAAGCAGTTGCAACAGTTTACATTTCCACTAGCAGTGTTTGGTGGTTTCAGGTTTTCCACATTCTTGTCAGCAACACTTGTTATTATCTGACTTTTTGATTATAAACATCCTCATGGGTGTGAAGTGCTATCTCGCTATGGTTTTGATTTGCATTTCCCTGATGACTAATGATGTTGAGCATCTTTCCATGTTCTTGTTGGGCATTTGTATATCTTCTTCAGAGAAATGTCTGTTCAGCTTGCCCATTTTAAATTGGATTTTTAAAACTTTTATTATTATTATTATTGAATTGTTCTTTATATATTCTAGATACAAGTTCCTTATCCAGTATATGATTTGCAGATATTTTCTCCCATTCTGCAGTTGTCTTTTCACTTGCCTGATAGCGTCTTTTTTTGGCTACTTGGACCCTCAGCAGTGAAAGTGCAGAGTCCTAACCCCTGGACCACCAGGGAATTCTCTGATAGTGTCTTTTGAAGCACAGAATTTTAAAAATTTTGATGAAAGCCAATTTTTTTTCTTGTGCTTTTGGTGTCATATCTAAAAAGTCATTGCCAAGTCCAAGGTCACCAAGATTTACCTCTATGTTTTCTTCCAAAAGTTTTATAATTTTAACTTTTTAGATCTTTGACCCATTTTGAGTTAATTTTTGTATATGGTGCAAGGTGGGGAGGGGGGTGGAAGTCATAGGCTTTTAACTTCAAAAATCAAACCAAAGGTAAAATATCTGAAAATACTAATAAATAAATACACAAATAAGTGGCAAGAGATACATGAAACAAGATTGCCAAAATATTAATAATTGTTGACTGAGTGATGAGAACCTGGGGTTTATTATGCTATTTTCTCTACATTTTTTGTTTGAAAATATCCATAGAAAATGTTCTTCTAAATATCAATTTTTTTAAAAATATCAATTTATTACAGTTTCTTACTTTTTTTTTTTTTTTTTTTTTTTTGTGGTACGCGGGCCTCTCACTGTTGTGGCCTCTCCCCCTGTGGAGCACAGGCTCCAGACACGCAGGCTCAACGGCCATGGCTCACAGGCCCAGCCGCTCCACGGCATGTGGGATCTTCCTGGACTGGGGCATGAACCCTTGTCCCCTGCATCATCAGGCAGACTCTAAACCACTGCGCCACCGGGGAAGCCCTCTTACTATCATTAATCGCAGGCTTGTCATTGTATCTTTAGCATGGCTTGGTGTTGGGCTGTTAGTTACTAGATGGCCATAAGTACAAATTCGGTTATAACTATGAAAATCTTATTTAAAATATTATGAGAAACTGTAAAATCAAGATATCAAATTAAGCTAAAACTTTTTTATCCCAAGGTTTCTTAATTCTTGATTTACCCCCAAATTTTATTCTATTTAGAATTTTATGAACAGTATATTTAAATGTGTTGTATGCAGATTTGTGTAAAGTTTATAGATTACTACAGTGTACTTCTCAAACTTGTGTTGAGAGGCAGCTGTTCTGGAGAATGCTGAGTGGGGGAAAGTTCATTTTTGCCTCAGGTAAGCTTGCAGTTGAACAAAATTAAATTGATTTTCTTACTACAAGATTTCTCAGGACCCTTTAATGTGCAAATATGTATCATAAATTTTTAAGATTTGGCAAGCAGTGTTTTTTAAGCTTATTTGACTACTAATGTACTATGGAATAGTTTGTAAAACACTGGCCTGCATATTTAAAATCACGTTATGTCCGTACATAGACAGTTAAGTAGTTTGTTATCATTTGCTTATCATTACCTCGATGGCTGTCATTTCTTAAAATTTCTCCTTATGTCTATCCTTTTCTGTTGCTTTTTCTTGTTTCTTTATTTTACTCTTATATATTTGTCTAACTACTAAAAGTGATCAGATTTTGAACTTGCTGTGTTTCTCTGTAGGTGTGGGGTTTGTAAGACTAAAAAATATTTTCAATTATGCATTTAAAATATAATAAGTTATGACTTTATATTTATTTGTACTTGTTATTTTAATAGCATTTGAAAAACTAGCAAAAGATAGCAATGTTTAGAGAATTACAACTATTAGGTATATTTTGGTATCTTTCTAATTGAATTTTGCTTTATTCCAGAAAATATAGAAAATATAGCCAAAGGAATAGCTAGCAGACTTTAAAATCATTCAAAATTGTGCCACTCAGAGATAATTATAAGCATCTAAATTTTTTTGATAAAAGTAATACTTATACATGGGGGATAAAACCCTGGAACTTTATTGAGAGGCATAAAATGAAAGCCTCTCTATTTACCTCCCAGCTGACCATCCCTACCCCAAATCATTAGGGCTTTTCTCCTCAGGTAACCACAAATAATAGTTTCCCAGGTATCCTTTTTGTCATGTTTGTCGTGAACTTTTTGTCATGTTTCTTTCCATCTATGTCACTAGTGCAAGATCATGAAGGACAGGATGAGCCTTGCTTGCACAACTCAAAATTCCAAACTGGAACATTTTAATATTTTAATATTTAGTATGCAGTTTATGTGGTGATTTAAATCCAAACTAAAGCTTACTTAAAAGCCTTCCAAGTAGTATGACAAAAGATTTTTTAGATTTGTGAACTTAGTTAAGTCCTATTAGACTATGAAAATTAAATTGTCTTTTGAAATACACTTAAAAATCTTCATTGCAAGTGATTAGACAAAAGCCATGCTCTAGTATGATTTTTAATTCCATCCCAGTAACATAGGTCTAGAAGTAAGTCAGCAAGCCAGATGGAAAAAGCTGCTTTTAATAGCTATGGGACTGTGGAAGTTTTTTTCTTCTGTTCCTTAGGAAATATGTACATAGGAATATTAGTGTTTTCTTGGACTGCACTTTTCTTTTACATTAAAACTTTGATTAATGAGAATTAGGGGAGATTGCACTATTATGGTTAATTGAATTTTGGTTATCTGAGGAATAATTAGTAGAACCTCGTATTGCTCTGTTCCTTATTGTTGAAAATCTTCCTGATCTCTGTCAATACCCTTTCTTGCTTTAGTAATTAAATACTTGTTTGTTTCCACTATTTGTCTGTGAGAGAACCATGTCTAAATTATATATCCCCCCTCCCAAAAAAAAATGCCCTCGGGCTTCCCTGGTGGCGCAGTGGTTGAGAGTCCGCCTGCCGATGCAAGGGATACGGGTTCGTGCCCCGGTCTGGGAGGATCCCACATGCCACGGAGCGGCTGGGCCCGTGAGCCATGGCCGCTGAGCCTGCGCGTCTGGAGCCTGTGCTCCGCAACGGGAGAGGCCACAACAGTGGGAGGCCCGCGTACCGCAAAAAATAAAATAAATTATATATCCCAGTCCCTCGCACAGGAAGGTCAGACACAAAATTAAGTGCATAGTAAATACTTTTTAAACACTTTGGTTGTTGAAAATAACCTAGTCTTTCTTTGTTTTGGATTTGGCATGCAGTATACTGACTTTTTTCTCAGTAAGCTGAGCTTTTACCATTATGTTGTTTCAGGTACATGTATAAAAGTTTGGATAACATATATCAGTTAAAAAAAGACATTAGAGCCACGAAAGGCCCCGAATAGCCAACAATATGGTACTGGCCCTAAAAACAGGCACACAGATGAATGGAACAGAATAGAGAGTCCAGAAATAAACCCACACTCAGATGGTCAATTAATCTATGATAAAGGAGACAAGAATATACAATGAGGAAAAGACAGCCTCCTCAATAAATGATATTGGGAAAACTGGACAGCTACATGCAAAAGAATGAAACTGGACCACTTTGTTACACCATATTCAAAAATAAACTCAAAATGTGTTAAAGACTTAAATGCAAGACCTGAAATCATAAAACTCCTAGAAGAAAATATAGGCAGTAACCTCTTTGACATTGGTCTTAGCATTTTTTTTTTTTTTGGTTACTCCTCCTCAGCAACATGGATGGACCTGGAAGGTGTTAATGCTAAGTGAAATAAGTCAAACTGAGAAAATACTGAATGATTTCACTTACATATGGAGTCTAAAAAACAAAACAAAATAGAAACAGACTCGTAGATACAGAGAACAAACTGGTGGTAGCCAGAGGGAAGATGGGGTGGGGACACAGACAAAATAGGTGAAGAAGATTAAGAGATACAACTTTGTGTGGTTACAGATAATGTATGGTTATTGTGGCGATAATTTCATAATGTATAAAAATATCAAATCACTATATTGTACACCTGAAACAAATATATTATTAATGCAATTTTAAGTAAATAAATAAAGCAAACAATAAAGAAATGTTAAGTATATAATAATTTTGAATGTTATTTTTACATTGTAAATACAGTTACTATAATGGAATGTTTTTAATTAAAAATTTAAGGATTCCATGCTTTGATAGATTTGCTTGCTTTAGGCAGGTATAAAACTTAAGGTCATGAGGTTCATACATCTGTGGCTAATGTAGTTTTCTTCCCTTCCCTTCTCCTCCCCATCTAGTACATATGCTTTTTAAAGTATACTTTATATTTACAGAGTTTCTTTGTTTTTTATGGTCTGTTGCTAGAGAGAAAGTTAATTCTCTGAAACAGTTTTTGGTTTATTTATAGATTGGTCAAAGAAAAAATGATGTATGAGAAAGAAGCAAAACAACAAGAAGAAAAGATTGAAAAAATGAAAGCTGAAGATGGTGAAAATTATGCTATTAAAAAGCAGGTAAAATTATATCTTAAATAATAACAGCTAACATTTACAGAATACCATATTAACAATGGATTAACAGCCCTCTGAGAAGGTCCTACTAAAGGTCCTATTAAAATCTCCATTTAAAAATAAGGAAAGTTACCATCTAAAAATAAGGAAACTGGGGGCTTCCCTGGTGGCGCAGTGGTTGAGAGTCTGCCAGCCGAAACAGGGGACATGAGTTTGTGCCCCGGTCCAGGAGGATCCCACATGCCGCGGAGCGGCTGCGGCCGTGAGCCATGGCCACTGAGCCTGCGCGTCCGGAGCCTGTGCTCTGCAACGGGAGAGGCCACAACAGTGAGAGGCCCGCGTTCCGCAAAAAAATAAATAAATAAAAATAAGGAAACCGAAACACAGGTTAAATAACTTGCCCATGGTCACACAACTCCTAAGTGTCATACCTGGGATTTGAACACAGGCATTCTGGCTCTGGAATTTGTGCTCTTAGCCATTAAGCAGTACTGCCTCTCCAGTTTTAAGTATTAAATATAAAATGGCCTAGTCTTATAATTAAATATACTTATATTTACAGATATTTTCCCCAAACTGATATGAAGACCACCAAAATTATACACACACACACACACACACACACACATATACACATTATGCATTTCAATGGCTACCTCTGATTATCCTCATGACAAGTTTCAGTCTCCTTAGCATTGTATACACGGCTCTTCTTAATTTTGGTACCTCCTTATCATTCCAGCCTCATCTTTTGCCAGTCCCTATCTGGACCTCTTAGGTCCTGCCTTTTAGTTTCCTGAACAAGCCCTTTCTCCTTTACCTCTGAGATATTGCATATGTCTGGGATATTCTTCCTACTGGCCCTACCTACCCTCTCCTTATTAATTCCTACTTATTCTTTAAACCTCCTCTACACTCCACCCTAACACTGAGTTAGGTGCCCCTCCTCTGTGGTTTCATAACACTTTCTTTATTCTCATCATAACATCTAATTTATATTCACTCCTGGTTGACACTTGTTTTGTAATTGCTTGAGAAAATAGAGGCTGTCAAGGGAACTTATATTCCCACCACAAAATCTATCAATCTACCTGCACCTGTACCCATACTACCCACCTTCCTTCCTGTTAGAGTGGATTATGTGCCTCAGCCCTTGTTACAACCATCAGTGACATTGTTATCACTTCTTTCTTACATAACCTCTACAGCATTTGACACTCTCTCCTTGGAATGCTCTTTTATGTTGGCATCTTTGATAGAATGGTCGCCAGGTTTCACTGCCATTTTTTCTCAGTCTGCTTTGCTGAAACTCCCTCTCCCAGCTTGCTGTCTCTCTCCCATCTCTATGTGTCTCTTTATCTCTCTATCTTTAAAAAAAATTTTTTTAACCTTAAGAGTTCTGGCTACAATTACTCTCTAGGTAATCTCATACCATCCTTTAACTTTAAGTACCATCTTTATGCCCATTCATTTGTCTGCACAGAACATATTAATTGAACCCCTGGCTACTTGCCAAATACTGTTCCAGGCACTCTTTTAGACATGGCATTAAAAGCAACAACAAAACAGAAAAACCCAGAATTCCTGCTAACTTGACATTCATTCTGGTGCCAATATCTCCCAAATTTCTATCTCTGGGCCCAACCACTCCAATATATATCAGTATATTCAACTGATCACCAATTTGACATATCCCTTGTGTGTTCAAGACAAGAATCTTGGTCTTCCCTCAACCCAGCTCACCTCCCTGAAACAAGAAACTAGTCTTTCTCTTGTTTCCCCCCTCTCAATAAATGGTACGTCTACTTATTCAGATACCCAAACCAAAACTTACGGGTCTTCTCTTTATCACCAAGTCCTCTTTCTTTTTCTTTACATTTCTTTCTCTACTGCCACTATCCTAGCCCAGTCCACTATCACTTCATGCCTGTACTACTGCAAAAGCCTCCTGGTTGATATCCTCTTTGTCTCTTGATAACCCTCCATTCCTTTCATACCACAGTAGCCAGGCTGATCTCTTTAAAAGGTACATCAGATTACTTATCCCTTTACTTAAAATCCAGTGTCCAGTGCATTTGGAATAAAATCCAGATGACACTAAGTAAAAGGAGAATATAAAAGAACTTATACAGATTATATCTCAAGACTTATTTTTTAAATCAGCTTTATGAACTCACAGTGGTTTTCATCATATAAATTATGTTACAGATGGTAATGCACACTTAACCCAGACTTTAATTAAGTAAAATTAATCACTTAAAGTGGATTTTTCTTTCTTTTTTTTTTTTTTTCCGCGGTATGCGGGCCTTTCACTGCTGCGGCCTCTCCCGTTGTGGAGCACAGGTTCCGGACGCGCAGGCTCAGCAGCCATGGCTCACGGGCCCAGCCGCTCCGCGGCATGTGGGATCCTCCGAGACTGGGGCACGAACCCGCGTTCCCTGCATCGGCAGGCAGACTCTCAACCACTACGCCACCAGGGAAGCCCTAAAGTGGATTTTTCTGTAGGTAGTTGCTTTCTGTTGTGCACAAGGAATGCAGTGGCACTTGAAATGTCTCCTTCTTCAGGTTATACAAGAAGAGAACTTTCTTATTTTCTTGAGCTTCCAGGAGATCCTCCCTTCCTCTATGTATGATCTAACAAAGGACATTCGTGTGTCAGATATTCTTAAATTGAGAGAAGATTTGTAAATAGGTGTGCAGATGTAGTATGTCCCCCCAAATGTTGACTTTTGTAAACTAACTGCCCTTCATAAGGATTTACATATAGAATGTAACTTTTTGATTCTTAACTTTATGTTAAATGCTTTTTTAATATATACTTCCATAAATATTCATATCATTTTTGTATCTCTCTCACTTCAAGGTACTCTATTTTTTTCCCACATTTAGTGAGAAACATTGTAACGTAGTGTATCACTTATTTCACATAGGTCCTTCTTAGACCCCATCTGGTTTATTTTCCCACTTGTGTAGTTAGTGACCTTGTTTAGTTTTTTTCTTTGCCTTTTTCTTTTCATCACCAATAATGTATTTTAAAATAGTCCTATAGCTAGAATATGAGTTGTAAGTTACTTGGAATGGGGAATGTGTTTCCTTTCTAAATAAAATTCTACAAATAATGTAACAGATTATCACAGAATCTGTTTTATTTCATTTGTATTTATATATTGATTATCTTTCAGTAAAATTACTACTTGATAGGTAAGGATTAACTCTTTATTGAATCCTGTGTTCTAATTGTTACTTAAAGATATTAGCCACTCACATATATATGGAATCTAAAAAAAAAAAAAAGTTCTGAAGAACCTAGGGGTAGGACAGGAATAAAGACGCAGACGTAGAGAATGGACTTGAGGACATATATACACTACCAAATGTAAAATAAATAGCTAGTGGAAGCAACCACAGGGACATCAGCTCAGTGCTTTGTGACCACCTAGAGGGGTGGGATAGGGAGGGTGGGAGGGAGGGAGACGCAAGAGGGAGGGGATATGGGGATATATGTATAGATGATTCACTTTGTTGTACAGCAGAAACTAACACACCATTGTAAAGCAATTATACTCCAATAAAGATGTTAAAAAATAAAAAAATTAAAAAAAATAAAGATATTAGTCAATTAATGGTTATATCATTGACTACATATGCAGATGTAAAAGGGGAAAAATTTTGTTCAAGAACCCTCTCTAAACTTAACCATGTTAAAATTCTTTTGTCACAGTGGTCATGGTTTATAACATGATTTTCTAGATTCATAGTCAGCCTAGTACTTAAATTCAAGAATACCAACCCATATCTAATTACAGAACAATAAATTGTTTTGTTTTCTGATATTCTCAACCTGCAGTGTATACAGTTTTCAGTTGCAGTTTTGTTTCAGGGTCTCATGAAACCTTGTCTTTAGCCCAGCCTACATGCTTTTCTCAATTCCTTTTCCTGACTTAGCTTTGCGGTGGCCAGCCTTACATGTTTTTTCTTATGTGCAAGGGAGTTGCATTGCCAGAAGCACTGCTCTTTTCCTAATTGCCTACTACTGTAAGGTCAGGAATTGTTTCATGACATTTGCTGATGCCCCTCATAAAAAATATGGAAGCCAAGTGCCAGATTTTGTGGGTTCTCTACTCTTCTCCCTGTATTTCCTCCTCTTCTGAGCTAAATGCCATCCCCAGTCACTGTACACTACCTTGACTTTTCTCTCACTTGGTTCCATTTTGCTCTGGCTTTCCTAGATCTTCTGAATGAGCCCTAATATTTTATAACATACACATACAATGCTGTCTCTTGGTCCCTGTCAAACTTCTTACCTGAAATTGATTGCCAAAATTGTTCTCTCTTGCACTGGGCTTAATTTTGGTTGTTTTAAAATAAATAACTAGGCAGAAGTTTCAGGACCCTAATAAGCCAAAATACCAGTCAAAGTGTTATTCTATAACACAGCATTCAAATGTTGACTCGATATTGATTTTAGCCTTCTGCTTATGATATTCCTCTTTTCCTCCAATATCCTCATCCCCCGATTAGGGATGGTTACAGAGGATTTTGCCCTCAACTGGTGAAGGTATTCTCGTCTTTTTTTGTTTTTTTTTAAAGCCTATTCTGGAGCAGAAATGATTGGTAATAATGACAATCAAACATATATCAGTTATTTTACATAAGCCATGATGCATCTCTTACCTTCCAGAAGTAATATTAAAGGACAAACTGGTTCAATTTTCAACAAAGATTTCTCACAAAAACCTTACATTTATTACATATAATTGCAGTATTGTGAAATTTTGCACCACATTTTTTGTGATTTACTTGAAACATGAGTTAACGTTCACAATTTGATATTTCTTTTTCCTAAAACTGAAGGGGCAATTTTTTCATTAAATATATGGAAAATAATAGGAGGTTTCAGTCTATGAAGAGGAATTTGACCAAGGGTCTCTTACAAGGCTGCAAGAAACACCAGAGTTTTTTTATCAATAACTAAAATTTTATTGTCTTTTGGTACATATAAT